GATTCCATAGTTGGATATAAAAGGCCCATTCGCGCGATATGCTCGGAAAGGAGGGATATAGGAAATGTGTTTCCTGCCAAATAGACGAATATAGGATGTGGTTTTTATGCCATCCATACTATCTGTTCATTCGTTCTACTCCGAATAGTCTCAACAGCTTGCTCACCAATCAATTTCCTGAGAAAATATAACACGGTTCGAAGTGAATATTATTCTCTTAGAATGTCCGTTTTCAGTGTTGATTGCTTTCTGATCAACTCATTGCTGTTTCCTTCCACAACATTCCAAATTACAACTCACATTTGTACACAGAAAGAAAATATTTGGTATTAATGACAGAATGGGTTCTGTAACGAATTTATCAAAACATTTTTCCAATGTTACAAAATTTCTATATCATTAACATAAAGATTATCAAGAAAAATAAAGAATTGAACATAATTTTTGTTGATGTTAGAATTAATTTCTGTTAGTGTGTGTTTCCGTTCAGGAATCATTTTTATATCATTTACGATATGTTTTCTGATATTAATAGATACAGTTCATATAGAAACTACCAAAAAATCAATATTTTTCAAATTCACAAATAATTCTATAATATCAAAAGAACTTTGAACGCAGTGATTATGGTGAAAAAATATTCTGTGTATATAACAAATAGTTTTGTTCCATTTACAGACACGTTTGGGACATGATGTCATTTCCATTCAATTATAGGGCAAACCTGCTATTTTTAGATCGATTGCTCTTGGCACTCCTCAAGTCCCTATCCACATTTCGCATTTTGTGTTGTGAAGACATCAGCATACGCCTGGGAAGAATGATTCTTTTATAGAAAATTCAGGAAGAGCTTTTGTCTTTTGTCAATCTTTCATTTCCCCCAATGCTTTCAATGCTGCAAGATAACATTCCATAGGATTGCCGGAATAATTATTTCAATGATACAGAACTATTTTATACTTTGACAGCATTATTCTTTTGAGTGTACAGAACTGTCTTCTGTGATGATAGATATTTCTTTAAATATAATGAACACATGCTGTAACATCATTTCATTATTATCAAAACATTCTGTGACATGTAGAGAAATTATATGTTGTTGGAAAATATAAATTTCATCACAACTAAAGACATTTTTTTTTTTTCGAAATACCGAGATTTCTCTAAATATTGAAGAATCCATATTGGGATTTTGAAAGAAATGGATCATAGAATTAACAGGATATTTTCATTATCGCTATAGCGAAAGAAATTTCTGTAATATGTAAGGTAGTTTTTTTAATATTAACCTAGTATTTTCTTTCTGTGTAGAAATTTGTGGAATTGGTGAAAAATGCAAGTGAATAATTGGTATTCTTATACAGGGTGGGTCGAAAATTTAAACCGACCTTCCTGGAGTTGAGTACATTGAAAAATAGTTTGATGAATAAACTGATGGCCCAAAATGTATATTGAGGGAGATATATCATTCCAAAATTGATCAAATCAGAATTATTCTTCCGCATAACTTTTGAACGGTAAAAGCCACCAGATAGAAATTCCCTGCATAAATGTATGTTGATAAAATACATTTTTCTGATGTACACCTACACATTCCTGATATTCAACTAAGAACCACTGTTTTAAAGTAGGAGTTGTAATGTCCTTCTAGTGAGTTAGCATTTGTAGGACTATTTCAGAGACTGCAATTATTATTTATTGTTTCAAGATTTGACTTGAACAGTCTTGTAATGGATATTTCCGTGAATGAATAAATAAATAATTAGATAAGATACCGAGAGAAAAACAACTACTTTCCTGGCTATATGCCACGCAAAACATTGAATTACATCCTCCCGAAATCTATGCAATGATCCTTATAGACGAATAAAATCGCAAGTGTTTCCTTCCTAGAAGCCGAGCTGCGTCTAAGTGGTTCAGGAACGCGTGCATACCTACAGACTGGTTTCGAGCTCTTAGCTCTCATCAGTGCAGGGTTGTCCCAGAAAGAATTCATGACCGCTATCTGGTGCGAACCTAACCCAACTCAAACGAATCCGATTCTATTCAAAATTGGTATCTGGGGATCCTCAGGGTCGGGGACTATGATTCTTTCCTCAAAATTGGGTAATTCAAGATGGCGGAACCTATATGACGGACGAGTTTCGAAATTTGCAGCCAGCTCTCCTATTATTGAAAGACATGGTGGGTGAAGAAGCCTAGCTGAAGCAATTATATCAAGAATTCTATATCTGATAGGATTGATATAGCAAGAAAAACAAAAATGTTCTCCTGGTACCAATCGTTCCTTACAAAAGGAGACATCCATTGATTCAGGAGATTTATCGAAAACTTTGACAGGCACTATACATTATGAAACTGATGACTAATACAAGCTTGATATCACTGGGCACACATTGAAAATATGACAAAACAAAGAACAAAATGTCTATCAATACAAATGTCAATGTTAATATTGATAACAAATAAGCAAAATGCGAACGATTCAAGATTGTATTTTTCTTTATTCCACTAGTAGGCTAAACTAATTTCATTATTCTTCTAGTGAATTAAGTGGTGGGTACTTCATACGGATGTTCATAACTGTTTATACAACTTCAATTATAAAGGTGATTGTGGATAGACATAATTCATTTTGTGTGTATTCTACTAAGTGAAAAGTCGTCTAGCTTATAGCGATTAAAGTCTGCAGGCTAAACCCTTCCTCTTCCTATCTGATATGCGACCAAGCAACAAGCATCTAGCTACACCATTTGAATCGTAGGCTCTCCGAATTCTCCCGCTTACATGATGTCACTCAAACACACATGAAACGCGAAATTCGTGAGATGCAATGGGGAAGACCACTGATTAGATCTGTCCAAACCTCTTCCAATCGATGTACAGGGTGTGCCAAATTGGACACTTTTAAAACTTCCATAAGGAACAATTATATGAGGTTAAATTTCCTGTAAAAAAATGCTTTTTAGTTTAATAAAAACGCACGGCACAGTCCAAATTAACGTGCATCTCTGTAAAACTGATCATATTGATGGTTATTCATACCACACCAAATTTGGTTAGAATCGCATGACTAATAACTGAGATATAGAGGGGGGCCGTTTAAAGTGAGACACGCTGTATACAGGGTGTTGCGAAATTCGACCGACAACGCTTGACAGGTGAAAGCCCTCGTGATTTCATAATCACTGAGATAGGGACATACGGTCTTCTAGTATTCAGTTCTCGAGATACAGGGCGTTGAAGTTGAGAAATTCATATAGGTTTTTTGCAATATCTCAAGAAAAATTGAATATAATGCATTCAAATTCGGTATACGGTTTCATCTTTCAATGGTTAATTTTTTGACCAGAAAGACATTCCGAGAATTTTACCCAGAGGTGCGCTACAGAGGGTTGTGAAAACTTTTTCTTCCATATTTTCTACGCCACTGATGAAATTTCGATTATTTCCAATTTCTCGAATTGATTGTTCAATTATGTTGAAAAACTGCACCATTTTCAACTGAGTTAAAATGAACAGTTATCGAGATATTTGACCCAAAATAGAAGTTTGCATAGTAATTTTCCATCTTCTTCAGTAGTAGAAGATTAAACAAATTTTTGTTTTCTCTTTATGCGTGGAATAACTATTTCTGTTCAGCTACAGAATGAGATCTGAATAGTATTTAATCTACTCAACACCAGAAAAATATTTTTGCAATTTTCCACTACTGAAAATGATGAAATATTACTATGCAATCGTTTATTTTGGGTCGAATATCTCGAAAACTGTTCGCTTCAGCTCAGTTGGAGATGATTCATTTTTCGAACAAAATTGAACAAAGAATTCGAGGAATTGGAAATAACTGAAATTCAATCAGTGGCGTAGAAAATATGGGAGGAAAAGTTGCCACACCCCTGTTTAGGGCACCACTGGATGAAATGTCCGGAATGGCTACCTGGTCAAACAATGACCCATTCAAAGATGAAACCATATACCGAAGTTGAATGCATCCTATTCAATTTTTCTTGAGATATTGCGAAACAACTATTCGCAACACCTTGAATATTAGGACAGAGATGTATAGAAATTTAACTGGTGCGCTTGCTCCCTATTGAAGGTCGTTTGCAAGTTTCTCGATGGCGCCTACTCTGGTTACAATCCATATTTACAGGAAACATATTACCGACCGATAAATATTTGGATACGTATACGATTTGGATCAGAGTAATGAACTGATTCCTGATCAAAGAATCGAAACGTCAATATGTCAAAAATATTCTTGAGCTGAAAAAATGGATATTTCTGAGATTGGGGTCAAGTGTTCGTTAGGGACGTGTTCCGTAGTTTCTAAATTTTGTGTATAATACCTAATCCACCATAGAAAAAATAAAATCTCTGTTCTACAACAGTATTATTTCAGTGATTTGAAATATTAGCGTGAACTGGTGTGAATAAATTCAAAGGTAAGTACCAGTTACCATATCTGCCTATTATGATTTTCGATATTGGCCTATTTTAATAGTTGATACATTCTTTGTTCTGGTTCTTCAATGAGGAAATTCATCAGATTTCATGCTTTGAATAGGTTCATGTCATGAAAGAAGTGAAGCTTATCAAAATCGGCTACAAAAAAGATTTCTTGCTTCTATTTCAAACTGAAATTTGAATGAAAATGTTGAGCACAGTATTTATTCGACCACAGAACAATGATGGAAATAGATTCATCCCTCACAGAACCAAGGTTTTGAACGATTTTCCGATTATGGCGCCTCTATCGCAAATACCTGAACCCCACGTCCAAAACTCGCTTGCAATTGTTCCATATCGAGAGTTAGTCTGACGAAACAATTGAAGAGTGAGCCCACCAGTCAAATTTCTATACATCTCTATTAGGACGTCCTCGGAATTCAAAGAGCCACCGATGAACCGGTGCAGCTAGACGCTCGTCGACCGACGTCGCACCCCCTACCACTTCCGAAAACCGCCAGAACAGAAAACACGTGCGCTTGTGCCGTTTAGTTCGCCTTTCGACCGCCGCGAGACGCCACCACCGAGAGCCGGCGAGAGATCCGGGCGCGTCGCAGACTCCGGATTCCGGGCCTTTGCCCGCACGCCGGACTGCGGGAACTGCGCGCTGTCAGGATCCGGGAGAGGAGCGTCGGGACGGCGGCGCCACCTACGCAAAGGCGGCGGAAGATGTTGCGCTGCGGAAGCGGAAGGACGAGTGAAACAATATTTTCGTGCAACCGCACTCTAAGACCAATCACACACCGGGAGAATTTCCTACTTCTTCAATATTTTGAGGATGTTATCACTGTAAAGTTTGTATAAATTCGATATACAGGGTGTCCCGAAATAAGCCTGCCAAACTTCACCAGAGGCCTTCACTTCAATTTTTTCCCGGATTGGGTCCTAATCGTTACCGTTTTACCATAGGTTTTACTGAGCTACAAGAGGTGTAACGAACAAATACTTTCCCTGAGAGAAAACCGATTTCATCGGTTATGTTATATCAGCTATCGACAATTGAAATTAATTCATGCACAAACGGGTATGTGAGAAGTGTTAGTAGTGGGATTCCGAACGCGAAATAATATTTGGCCGGCCTCCTTCCCCACATTTGTCGATGATGTTTGCACAGGGCCAAATGTGGGGCAAACAAGCGAACCGAATTAATTTCCACTATCTGCATTCCTTTGTTCGACGTCATTTAATTAGCCAGAGATTGTGACTCGTCCTCAGTCATTCGGCTTCCGGAAATTTTCCCTCTCGCGTCGACCGTCTTTTCTTCCTTTCCTGCCAGGAAACCATTAGTATTCTAATTAACACTTATTGAAATTCTCATCAGGCCAGATATGGAAAGCTACAAGTGTTCGCGCTCGTAGTTTTCCTCTTTCTTTCATCGCTGTTGGAGAAACGATGGAATTTTATAAGTTGACGTCTATTTTAACACCCTTTCATTAGCTTTACCTGTATGAATGTAAGTATATGTATGAAACATAAGCTTTTTTTTATCGCTTGGAGAGCACGAAAGGAAATCCCTATAATGTTCAAAGAACATCGTGCGTTCCTAGGGAGGATAGGGACAGGAGGTAGGTATTGGAATTTTCTTTGAACTTCTGGAGATTATATGTTGTTGGGAATACTTCCTCAGGCAATGAATTCCAGAGAATAGCCGTTCTATGGATGAAAGAGTTTTGATAAAGTGCTGTTCGACATCTTTCGAGGTTGACAGCGAAAGGATGTGCTGACTGGGCTTATCTAGTTCGTCTGACTGCTATTGCTACTGAAGGGATGATAGCAGAGATTTCCGATGCTTGGTATTACTATCAGCAATAACCTTTCTTGGGAAAATCACGTGAGATCGATTGCTTAAAGTGCATCCCAAAAACTTGGTTTTCTGTTACGGGCAGGAGCTATTTCAATTCCAGTCAGCTGCTTATGATCTATAAGGCACAGATCCGACCTGTCCTGGAATACTGTTTCCATATTTGGAGTGCAGCAACCCAAACATACCCTGAAACTGTTGTATTCTGTCTAAAAAAGGGCAATTCGTTTCGTGGGTAATGCCTCGCTCACAAACTCACTCACTTCTCTGGAACAACGTAGAAAAGTTGGCGATCTGGCTCTATTTTATGGACATTTCCATAGACGATGCTCTTCTGAAATATCAATATTGTTCCTCCCTTGGCAGTCCCCGCGAGATTAGCCCGTCGAGTTGAGGCTTCGCATCCCTTCGTGGTCACTTTGGAGACCTGCAGAACATCTCTTTCCAAAGACTCGTTCATCCAAAGAACAGCGAGGCTCTGGGACACATTGCCAAGGGAGGTGCTCCCCGAGGCATATAACCTCCAGAAATTTAAGAAGAACACCAATTCTTACCTTATTTCTCTTGATTCTCACGATGTTCTCTGAACAGGATATCCCTTTTCGTGGGAACCAGAACATAAAAAAAACGACTCCTTTGGACTCAATATTGAGTCACATTTGAACGGACCAATTGATTTGAAATTTGGCAGGTTTACTTAGTTCTAGTGGCATTGCATCTTGGGACAAAGAACAAAATGGCGGCTCCAAAATGGCGGACGAGTTTTGTAATTATAATCCGAGTTATAATCCGATTCGATCCAAAATTGGTATCGGGGTTTTCAAGGTCGGAGATTATTTCGTCAAAATTGGAAAATTCAATGTGACGGTTATGATTCTTTTGTAAAAATTTGAAAATTAAGGTGGCGGCTAAAATATGTCGAACGAGTTTTGTAATTATGATCTGATTCTATTCAAAATTGGTATCTGGGGATTTTCGAGATCGAAGATTATGGTTCTTTCGTCATAATTGGTAAATTCAAGATGGCAGTTCCAATATGGCAAACGAGTTTTGTGATTATGATCCGATTCTACTCAAGATTGGTATATGGGTGTTTTTGAGGTCGGATATTATGCTTTGGTAAATTTGTGAAATTCAATAATGCGGATACAATATGGCGGACGCGTTGTGTAATCTTAATCCGATTCTATCAAAAATAAGTATCTGGGGGCTGCCGGGATAGGAAATTATGATTGTTTCGTAAAAATTGGGTACTGGCAAAAATATAAGAATACTAAAAACACGCTTTTGTAGTTAGACGAACTAAGAAATAAAACATAAAAAATAGTAGTTTGAAAACTGAAGAAACATCCTTTAAGGAAAGGTGTTGATGAACAGACAACATAGAATGTACTGATTAAGGGAATTCTAATATTTTCTAAATGTTTGTTGTGTATTTATCAATACACTTTCATTATTTCATTTTCTACTTATTATTAGTAGATTGGAAAGAACCGTTTCAACGTGGAATTCATTTTTTTTTCATTGCATCCCTTCATTGGTCTCAGCACTGGATCCAACACCCCCTCCCCAATAAGTCGAAACTTGAACAGGGTTAGGAAATACTTCTGGCGCCTGTACTACTACTGAATCATATACAGGCTGATATCTAAATAAAAGATACATTAAATTTGAACTCTAAAAATGCTCAAGGTTTTAGGTAGGTACTATCGAATGATATTGGATTCGCCATCTTGAATTTCCCAATTTTGATGAATGAATCTTAGTCTCCAACCCCAAAAACCCCCAGATACAAATTTTGAATAGAATCGGATCATAATCACAAAACTGTCCGCCATATTGGATCCGACATCTTGAATTTCCCAATTTTAGCAGAAGATTCATAATCTCCGATGTTGAATTAATTATGAATTGGATCTATTACAGATATTCAGGAGAAAATACTTAGACTTAGGAAAAATCGAGTATTTTGGTAAATTTTTGTAAACTGAAGCATATCACTGTACACAGGGTTATCTAAATCAAGTGTCCACCATTGGATAACTTAGTTATTACCTATAACATCAAAGATACTACATTATTCAGTACCGGATGTGTCATTTTATTCTGATATTTGTGAAAATTACCTGAACAGTATCATAACTTGCGAGTATGGGTATATTATAAAATCAATAAATTATAAGAGCATATTATGGCAGCAAAATGTATATTTCCAATAATAGGGAAACGAATCATTGTGATGTCTAAAAATATAAACGGTCCTATCTTCGGAAATATTAAGCAGAAGCTAATAAAACCCTGTACGTATTGGGAGGATAATTTATTGGAAGAGAAAGTATAGTACGCAACTTGAGTTGTAATGAAATCACGCAATTGTTGTTCCGCTGGCTATTGCACGAACTTCTAGAACTTCGCATTCCACATTCAGAACTTCTACAATATTATTCTCGTTTTTATTAAGTAGTAAAATAAGGAGATGACGGTCATTTTCCCCAAATGTTATAACGTCAGCATTGTATATTGGGCAATTCGAATTAATGGCATTCCTGATAGCAATTGCCTGAACTTCGTGTATACTTCAATAAGAGATTCAATTATGAACTCCGGCAGACCATTATCAAGTTCTGCAAACTTCAATTGGCAACATTCGTAACAACGAGAGGCAATTATACTGAATCACTTCATACAATAACAATCAGAATCAGAGTAAGGACAAAATTAACATCCCTATTTTATTTTTTTTCATCTCTTGGAGCGCACGGAAAGGAATCCCTATAATGTTTGGAAAACATCGTGCGTACCTAGGGAGTCTAGAGAGAGGAGGTAGGTGTTGGATTTTCTTGGAAATACCATCAGTTCATTGAAATAATTTGATATACATATACACACACACAGTGAAAAAAAATAACACCAGTTCACACCAGCTAACACCATTAAGTGTCCCCTGAGGTTTTGATTATTTTGATGAGAATTAACACTGATATTTTTAACACCATCATAATTATGGTGTCATTCGTTCTTACATACAGTCAAGAACTACACTAGAGTACCTAGTGCTAATTTGATCGGTTCGTGTTATTCAACACCAAAGTGGTGTACTACAATCATTTGGTGATTTTTTTTGACACTGTATCTGTTGCATTTTTGCATTTACTGCGACTTGAGTGTTATCACGCTGAGAAGCGGTGCTTTTTTATCTGCATCTGAGTGTAGAATAACACGACTCTGATATACTAACATAAGTATTCAAAGTATGAAAACATCTCTGAGCTGATACTATTTGAAGGCTGTCGAGAGACGAGCGTCGAAGGAGCGCAAGTGTCGCCATCTATCAAAATATTTATTCCATATGTTTCTATGCACAAAATTTTTACTTTGATATTCAGTTTTATTTTTCATTCTGGTTCGATATAAGTAATTAATATAGCTTCGCAATCTCAAAATCATCATATATAATTGATGAATCGACTTAAAATTTATTTATTTATTTATCTTATTGTGGATATTTCAGAACCCCTCTAAATTACCACATTAGTGTGATTTTTCACTATGAAGGTGTGAATTGTCACCACTGTACACGTTATTATCAAATTTCTAAATATATTGATATAATATTTCTAAACAAGTGTTGATTCGATCGAAGTAATTTCTGTCATCATATCGATTGAAATCACTGTGCGCACATCATTTTCAAATCGGAATATTCCGAAAAAGGAACACAGTATCGAAATTTACCAGGATTAGATACCTTTTTGGTGTACAATCGAATGACTTTCAAATTCACATCGAATTTGGATTGAAAAATCTAACCTCAAAAAAGTTATGTTCAAAACTACTTGGTACGAACCGTGAAACTATCGCTCTCTATGAGAGTCA